AGATGCAACGAACATGAAATTGAGCCAACTTCAGAGGACGGCAGAAGACAGGAAGGCCTGGCGTGATCTGGTCCATGGGGTCGCGAAGAGTCAGACTTGACCGTGCGACTGAACAACAACAAAAGATGTTAGGTTAATGAGCATAACGATACCTCCTTATGTATTTAACGCTAACTAATGTTTGTCGTTATTCCTTTTGCTCTTCTCATCATATTGTTGTTATATTCTTGTATTGTGACATGTTGAAAACCTTGAATAAACCTTTGTTGATTTAAAAAAAAAAATAGTTTCATACTCAAAGTCAGAGGCTGCTAATTTAGGCTTAACACAAACTAGCAGGTGGGGTTTTGGATGTAAAGGGTACGTCGGCAGGGGGATTACACAGAGGGACTCTGCTCCTTAATCAGTATAAACTGTCATACGTCACAGATTAGCGGCAGATGACGGATCAGTCTGTCCAGCAGCTGCCCGAAGAGAGCCAAGCGGATGAATTGTTCTCCGAAGAGGACGATCTGCAACAAGGAATTCAGCGAGCGATCGCTCCCTTTCCCGGCCTCAAAACTCTGCGGGATGAGAGCACCACCTACTGGCTACTTGTAGGAAGAGCTTTTTCAACAACCCACCCAGGAAGAGATTCAACGGCCAGCTCTGTGGTATCCTTACAGCGCCTCTGCTTTTTGCCAAATGTTCCTGGTTTTTTTTGCAAGATTAAGATTGCAGGGGAAAACATCACCAACCTCAGATATGCAGACGATACCACTCTAATGGCAGAAAGTAAAGAGGACCTCAAGAGCCTCTTGCGGAGGGGAAAAGAGGAGAGCAAAAGTGGGCTTGAAACTCAACATCAAAAAAAACTAAGAGCATGGCATCCGGCCCCACCACTCCTTGGCAAATAGAAGGGGAAGTAGTGGAGGCAGTGATAGATTTCACATTCCTGGGATCCAAGATCACTGCAGATGGGGACTGCAGCCCTGAAATTAAAAGACTCCTGCTCCTTGGGAGGAAAGCGATGGCAAACCTAGACAGCATAATAAAAAGTAGAGATATCACCCTGCCAACAAAAGTCCGTATGGTCAGAGCAATGGTATTCCCAGTAGTACTGTATGGCTGCAAAAGTTGGACCCTAAGGAAGGCCGAGCGCCAAAGAATTTCGAATTGTGGTGCTGGAGAAGACTCTTGAGAGTCCCTTGGACTGCAAGGAGATCGAATCAGTCAATCCTAAAAGAAATCATAAGAACATAAGAGGCCCATCCAGTCCAACACTCTGTCACACAGTGGCCAAAAATACCAGGTGCCATCAGGAGGTCCAGCAGTGGGGCCAGGACACTGGAAGCCCTCCCACTGTTGAACCCCCCCCCCCCAAGCACCAAGAAGACAGAGCATCACTTGCCCCAGAGTCCCTATCTATACCTTGTGGCTCATAGCCACTGATGGACCTCTGCTCCATATACTTATCGAAATCAACCCTGACTGTTCCCTGGAAGGCCAGATACTGAAGCTGAAGCTCAAAGACTTTGGCCACCAGATGAGAAGGGAGCACTCACTGGAGAAGACCCCGATGCTGGGAAAGACTGAAGGTCAAAGAAGAAGGGGACGGCAAAGGATGAGGTGGTTAGACAGTGTCATAGATGAAACGAGCATGAAATTGAGCAAACTCCAGAGGGCGGCGGAGGACAGGAGGGCTTGGCGTGAGGTGGTCCACGGGGCCCTGAAGAGTGTGAATCAACAACAAAACCAGCAGCCACATGTAATACCAAGAAGAGGTCCTCCATGGTTGGCACGGAGGTGGTCTCTAGATGCCCCTGATGTTTGCATACTTGCAGTTAAAAGAACTCAAAGAGGACAAGCAGGAACAGAAGTGGCGGACACTCTTTGCCTAAGATCCTGGAAACTTTCTGCTGATCAGGGCAGCCAGGCCTAGGCTGGAGAGACCAGCGGATGTGGCTTCCGTTCTTTTTAACCTCCTGTTGGAAAAAGGCCCCCTGACTTGGGAGGCCCGGATGACTCAGATCTCGTCAGATCTGAGCTGCTAAGCCAGATCAGCACTGCTTAGTACTTGGATGGGAGACCATCGAGATGTCCAGGGTGGCTACGCAGAGGCAGGCGATCGCAAACCCACTTCTATTTACCGGCCCTGATCGGGATGGCCCAGGCTAGCCCGATCTCCTCAGATCTCAGAAGCTTAGCGGAGTCAGCCCTGGTTAGCACTTGGATGGGAGACCACCAAGGAATTCCAGGGTTGCTACGCAGAGGCAGGCCAGGGCAAACCACCTCCGCACGGCTTT